CACACCCCCCACAACAAAGAATTTTCTGGTCCAAAATGTCAATTGTGCACCTGTTGAGAAATCCTTAGTTAGGAAAACAGTTTTTAGATATGACACCAAAAGCGTATTTATGAAAGAAAAATTGATAAACTATATTAAAATTTAAAAATACTTTTGTTTTGCAAAAGCTTTGGCTCTTTGATTAAGAGAATAAAAAAAGACAAGCCACAAACTAGGAGAAAATATTTAAAATCACATCTGTCAAAGGACTTATATCCAAAATATATAAAGAACTCATAAACTCAACAACCAGAAAACAAAAACCCAATTTTTAAAAACAAAAAATTGAAACAAGAGTTTTTACTAAAGAACATATTTAGATGTAAAATAAGCATAATAAAAATGTTCATTAGTAATCATTAGGGAAATGCAAATTAAAACCACACTAAAAACCCACATCATGCCTATTTGAATAGCTATAATTTTAAAACCTGGCAATATGAAGTGCTGGTGAGAATGTTGAGGATTGGAATTCATATATATTGCTGGTAGGGATGCGCAATTGTACATCCACCTTGGGAAACAGTTTGGCAGTTTCTTACAAAGTTAAACATATACCTACCATAAAACCCAGCAATCTCATGCCTAGCTATGTATCCAAAACAAAATAAGAGATGTTCAAAATATAGGAGAGGAAAAAATAATTTTCTCCCTACTCTTCAAGTTCTTAGTTGGAACAAACTCCTATAACAAAAGGTAGATTAACAAGTGGAAAACAAAAAATTTAACAACATATATAACTTATGTATATATGGGAGATACCCAAAGGAATAAGTAAATCACAAAGGTATGGCTTTGAATTCAGACAAGTACAATTGTCTACTGAAACAAAACAAAGAGGGAAGGATGTGAGGAAGGACAATCATAAGGAGATGCCCAGGAAAGCAGGATAACAAGGATAAGGTTTCTTACACAGATTTAAGTCCGGTGCCTTCTCCATTGTTAAGTCTCTACTAATGTAATGTCATCCTTCTCTTCATAGTACACAGGGAGACACCCGTACAAATGGAGATTTCCTTTATAGACATACATATAATTTGTACTCTGTTTTCAGATCTTCTGTGCCTACAGTTTCTCAAAATGATTAGCATAAAACGATCCATATGCCAAAAAGTCATATTTCAAGGTGGCATATTCTGGTCTCCTACAATACAAAAACCTATAGGTAAATCTTTGTAGCTGATTTAAAAATTGGAAACAACCTAGACATACCACAAAATGTGGTACATATGTGTAATAGAATGCCACCAGCAATAAACCTGAATGAACCATTGATTCACAAAACAACATAGATAAATCTTACCTGCATTTTGACAGGCTGGACCGAGAATTGTTAGATTCTATTCATATAGCACTCTGGAAAAAGCAAAACTATAGGGAGGAAAATAGATGAATAGATAGCAGATCAGGGATTGAGGGGTGGGTTTTCTATAAAGGAATAGCATAAGGAAACTTTGCAGTCATGGAATTATTATGTATAGAATTATAGTGATCCATAATACAATTCTGTGCATTTGCTAACACTGATAGAACTGTACCACAAAAAGTGAATTTTATTACATGTAAAATTTAAAAAATTCAACCCAGATAAAGAAAATGTGGCATATATACACCATGGAATACTAGACAGCCATAAAAAATGAGATCATGCCCTTTGCAGGGACATGGATGAAGCTGGAAGACATCATTCTCAGCAGACTAACAAAAGAACAGAAAACCAAACACTGCATGTTCTCACTCATAAGTGGGAGTTGAACAATGAGAACACGTGGACACAGGAGGGGAACATCACATACTGGGACCTGACAGGGGGTCAGGGCCAGGGAAGGGAGAGCATTAGGACAAATACCTAATGCATGTGGGGCTTAAAACCTAGATGACAGGTTGATAGGTGCAGCAAACCACCATAGCACATGTATACCTATGTAACACACCTGCACATCCTGCACATGTATCCCAGAACTTAAAGTAAAATTAAAATAACAACAAAAACACCTCAGCCAGGATGTGGGAGAAAAGATGGAATGCAGATTGTGATAAGTGCATTTTCCTATGTTACAAATTAATCATAACTTCCCTGAAAGGGATGGGGAAGAAATAAGCTGACCTAAGTAAGGGCCAGCTAACTAAGGGGTTCCAGAAAACCCTTCAGCTCCCCTAAGTAACTTTGGAAAACAGCAGCAGACCTGCCCCAGTGAAACCTTGCCAGGCAACCCCCCATGGCCCCAGTCTCCAGGCTAGAAATTGTGGACAAAACCTTTAAGATTCTTCAACACCAGGTCTATTCTGTGTCCTCAGGCTTTAGGCTGACCCTCGTGCCTTCGGATTTTGAGCCTGTTGTTTGTTCTGACACTTCAGCTCTCTGATAAATTCCAAAATAATTTCTGAATTTGAAGTTAACCCAGTTACTTTCATTGTAAGTGTAAGAATGATGGCTCTTCTATCGCTCTACAGAGTGGGATTCCTTTCCATTTTTAATGGCTGAACTGTATTTCATTAAATGAATGTCTAATTTACTTTATTTAACCAATCCCAATCATTCATTGTACTTTAGGCAATTTTCCACTTTTTGCTGTTATAAACAAAGTTAACTGATCCCTATAGGCATCATAGTCTGAGTTGCTATAAAGGAATACCTGAGGTTGGGTAATATATTAAAAAAAAAAAAAGTTTATTTGGCCCATGGTTCTGCAGGCTGTACAAGAATCATGGTGCCAGTATCTGCTTCTGTTGAGGACTTCAGGTTGAGGACTCATGGTGGAAGGCAAAGGGGAACTGGTGTGTGCAGAGATCACATGGCAAGAGAGCCAGCAAGAGAGAGGGGAGTAAGAGGGTAGGCTCTTCTGAACAACCAGCTCTTGTGAGAACTAATAGAGTGAGAATTCATTTATTATCATGAGGATGGCACCAAGCCATTCATGAGGGACCCGCCCCCATGACCCAAACAGCTCCCACCAGGCATCACTTCCAATGCTGAGGCTCAGATTTCAACATGAGGTTTGGAGGGGTCAAACATTCAAACCATAGCAACAGGAGATGACATTTCCTCGTGAGGAAGCAATACAAATTGAAATACAACCTATAGAATTTATATAGACATTATGCAATCTGCAGAAGCACATGTTGGGACTGAAAAAGGATTGCACTAATGAATTCTATCATAGATGTGTTTCTTGTTCTCATTTTAGAATAAATGATACCCATATCAGATTATCTGGGTGATTAGCACAATGGCTTTGACTTAAATATAGGAAGCCTACAGGTTGGCTGTTCCCTAATGCTGACTGCTATAGCCTATGTGCTCTACCCAACCCAGAAAGGATGCCTCTCCTTCACCCAAACAAGCAGTTGTGTCAGTTTTTGGGTAAAAAGGAAGATGGATTTCAGCTGCCCTAAAGAAACAAAGGCTTCTCTCCCTCCTCCTCCTCTTTTTCCTTCTGTGAAATTTGCCTGATCTACTGGTAGGAGAGTCTGTCTTGGATCAAAAATGGGTTGGCGAGGCACAGTGGCTAACTCCTGTAATCCCAGCACTTTGGGATGCCGAGGGGGATGGATCACTTGAGGTCAGGAGTTTGAGACAAGCCTGGCCAACATGGTGAAACTCTGGATCTACTAAAAATATAAAATAAGCCTGGCGTTGTGGCAGGTGCCTGTATTCCCAGCTACTTGGGAGGCTGAGGCAGGCGAATGGCTTGAACCCAGTAGGCAGAGGTTGCAGTCAGCCAAGGTCACACCACGGCACTCCAGCCTGGGTGACAGAGCAAGACCCTGTCTCAAAAAAAAAGGGTTAACTGAATTACAACAGGAAACGTCTCCAGTAACAGCCCAGCTTGCTCCAGGTCCTAATGGGTGAAGAGAGCGTCCCATCTCTACTTTCTTCAACTCTGGATTAACAGGTAGCTACTCTAAGGTGCCCTGGCAAAGTGATCTGTGCCTTGGGATTTCTGCTTTCAAGACAGCCTAAAGAAGAATGAATAGTTGCTAAAGGAAGAAGCAGTAATCAGGAACTCAGTCTCTAAATGTAGCTAATTTCTATTTAATTGGCCAGTAACTACATTTAAAATAAACACTAGCTGGTCATCAAAAACAGGAGGTTAAAGGATAAGCAATTGTATAAGCCAGAGAGAATTACTAGGCCAAAACAAAGCTAGGGGAAGTGGAGAGACGTGCTGCTTCAGAGAAAACATGATTAGGAGAAGAGGAATTGTCGCTGCTGTGGGCCTCACAGATCTCATAAAGATTTATATCAGGTTTTATTTGTGTTTGTTAGTCATCAACGAAACTGATTTTAATCACCAGCTGCTCTTTAATTATCAAGCAGTCATTCCTTTATTACATAAAAATTAAAAACACATGTAAGGGGCAATTTTAAAACTATCAAACGGGATGCATTTGGCACATCCTTGTGCATCCCCAAAGAGGCAGAGATTGGACAGGTTTCCAGAAAACCCTTCAGCTCCCCAGGCATTTGCTGAACCCCTGGCGGCTGGCAGTATGGCTTTCAGGCAACCGCAGCGACTGCTCCCCTCCGGGGGAAGAATGTGGAATCCGTAGAGCTGGGTTGAGGCACATCCGCTGCCAAACCTTCTCCTGCATTTGTAATCCCTGCTTTTCGGCACCACCCAAGATGTACTAATGCACCATGTAAAGACTCACTCCTGTTTCCTGTGGGGTTCAGCAGTGAAAGAGGGTGTGGGAGGGGAAAGAAAGAGAAGGGGAAACTGTAAGAATGGTTTGAGTGGGATCCCTAGGCTGTGAGCAAGTTCTTCAAATTGAATTTTCCTTTGAGGCAGACATTTTCCAGTTAAACTTTAAACTCAAACCCTTGTCCTATTTATCTCCAAAATGCAGGCTATGTGTCTCCCTCCTAATTAGCATGAAATTATTTCTTCTTTTTTCTTCATTAGAAATTAGGATTGATTTTTTTTAAGATAAAATTTGTGTTCCTGCTTAATTTTCAGATTCATTTGGAAGGAGTGCATTTTTATCAGAGAGACTGAAAAGCCTTTGAGAATCAGTTAAAAAAAAGGAATGCTCATGAGAGTCACAGTAAGTAGCACTTCTCATCAAACTAGCTGCCCAGGATTGTTAAAGTGCTTTTTAAAAGGGGAACTAACAGGGCTGCTGCTCAGCATTTACTGTTTTCTAAGAGCCTTAGCTAAATTAATCATAGCACACACTAGCCCTGTAAGGTAAAATAATGATTCCTGGTATTTCAAAAGCAATCAGCCATCCACAAAGAGGGAGGTAATGTCCCCAACAAGATGCTGAGGGAATTTCCACTCCCCTCCTGTCAGAGGCCAGCTTGTTTGTATCCAAGCAAGGACTTGGGTGAGCCAAGTTCTGTTAAAGTGGCCACCGGAATGAGTGGCCACCACACAAGTGAGGATGCTGAGGACTGTCCATCTGGGGCTCCCTGAATGCAAACTTGGTGGTGGGGGCAATCACATTATAAGTGCACAGGTGTGAGTCACAGACCTCCTGCTCCGAGACTCAAACCCAGCTGAGGCTTGCCCAGGAGGCGCTGGCCTCATCCTGGGCCACCCACACACTGGTGTGCCTCTGCACATGGAGGCCATTTCCAAAGCTGCATGAGCTATGGCATGGATTCCTAGTCACATCTGTACAGCCAGAGCAAAAGCCTGTAATTCCCGTAGAATCCAGTTCTTTGAGTCAGAACTCCAGATAAGTGTTTGTTTTCAGGTCACATCATTTGATTGTAGGGAAAAGCCTGGGCTATCATGGAGGGAAGAGATTGGGTACATTATTTGAAAAGTAAACCCGTGAATTGCTGTGGAGGAACAACAGCCTGCCTCTTAACTGGGGCCTTTCCAAGGAAAAGCAAAGGGGACCGCAGAAAGCTTCCTGGGAGACAGTTTAATTCTGAAAACAAAGCCGCACTTCCCCACTTGTGTGTTGGATAGAGCTGTAAAACAACACAGTCAAAATACTCATTAGGGCCACATCAATGTCTGCCCAAAGTCAGGCAAGCATTCCCAGGAAGCTAGGGGACTGTGGCAGTTGCACAGGTCACCCTCCTTTCTCTGTTGTCCCACAGCAGAAGAGCATGTGCCATTCTACTAAAGAGGGTGGAATACTTTGACTGAAAACTGGGGGACTGAGTTAGATGGTAAACAAGTTTGGAGTGGTGGTTTTTTTTTTTTTTTTAGTTATGTTTGTTTTATATATTTATGTGTTTAAAATATATTTTAAAAATTCAAAACAACCCAGAAATTCAGCAACTTGAGGAGACAACAGTGACGAACATTTTATGGCAATGTTTGGACACTTTAAAGATTATTTCAGGAAACTTAATGGTGATAAATGAGAGAAGGGACAACTTTTCTTAACTATAACATTTCAGCACCTGAGTACAGAGATCGAAACCAAGAGCTAGCCTTTCAAATTCATATTGTGAAGCACCTACAAAAAGAATATTCTGTCAGCTTTTATAACGTGGAGAGTTCAGCTTTTCATCTTATCAAATAAAAATATACCCAAATTATTGAATAGGCATTCAGTTAGGAAAACAGGGTGGGGTGATGAAACGTTTCTCATTCAGCAAACACTTTGCAGATATTTCTAGTCAAAGGTCCCTGTGGTCTAGGCTAGTGAGAGAAAAACGTGCCCTCTGCCCAGTGACAGAGGCTCACAGGGATCAGCTTTCACCAATGCAGGCAGGGGAACAAAGGGCAGGCTTCATTTGCCTGCATCCCACAGGCCCTTGTGCAGGGGAGTTCCATCTCAGTGCCCATCACGTGGCCTCTGGGGCCAAAATACTTTTTAATAATTCTGATTTTGAATATCAAATGGAAATGAAAAGTACATTTAGGAAGGAAGGGCTCTATCCTTATTGAAGAACGTGCTCTATGCAAACAGGTTGGGCAGGCACTAGCTGTTGTAAAGCTGTGGTTCTCAGCTTTGGCAGCCCACTGCATCACCTCCTCTAAAAGATACTGATGCCTGCATTACTCCTTCCTGTTCCTGTAAAGAAAGTAGAATTAAATTGCTCTATGGTGTGGCCTGGGCATCAGGATTTTTTTTTTTTTTTTTTTTTGAGACAGCCTCACTTTGTTACCCAGGCTAGAGTGCAGTGTGCAACCTTGGCTCACTGCAGCTCGACCTCTTGGCTTACTGCAGCTCTACCTCCCAGGTTCAAGCGATCCTCCTGCCTCAGCCCCCTAAGTAGCTAGCATTACAAGCACGTGCCACCACACCAGGCTAATTTTTGTATTTTTTGTAGAGATGAGATTTCACCATATTGCCCAGGCTGGTCTTGAACTCCTGAGCTCAAGCCATCCACCCATCTCAGCCTCTCAAAGTGCTGGGATTACAGGTATAAGCCACAGTGCCTGGCCAGCATCAGGATTTTTAAAAGCTCCTCAAGTGCAGTCAAGGTTGAGAACAGTTACTATAGAGTGATTTAATACAGCATTCAAGGCCTCTCATAATCTAGCCTCAGCCTGATTTTTTCTTCTCCCACCCCATCTCAGCCTGTGCATAAGCCACAGAGACATTCTCACTGTTCCCTGAATGTACGTGGCTCATTTAAATTTCCAGACTTTCTTGCACACACATTGTCTGTCTCTGGGCACCTAAGGAAAGTCAGCTCTAATGTCTCTCCTTTTCTGTGAAACATTTCCTGTCAAGCCCACCTTCACTACTAAGTCACTCCTTGTTCCTTGATCAGATGGCAGAACACTTTGTGCATATCTCTACTGGAGCCCTTCTCACTTTAAAGATATCTGTATATAGGTCAGCCCACTCCTCCCCAACAGCATGTGGACCCTTTGTAGTTTCAGCAGTAAGCACAGGGCTTGGTTTCTATGAATAATTATTGACTGAATGAATGAATGAATGAATGCCAATCTTGTACATTGTTGATGTTTACCACATTGAACCCAGTTCTTAAACTAGGATCACTCAGGAGATTCCAAGTCAGTAATTTGAAGTGGAAGGTCTGTATCATTCCTACTCAAAGTGTGGTCCATAAGTCAGCAGTGACTGTGTTATCTGGGAACTTGTTGCAAATGCAGAATATGTATTTTAACAAGATTCCTAGGCAATTCATATGCACATTACAGTTTGAGCTGTATTTTTAACAAGCTCCCAGGTGATTCCTTTGTAGCCTGGCTGCTGACCCGCATTTGGTAACCACTGTTCTAGACCTTCATTTACTGAATGGAGTGGTCCCTATGTGATTGCCTACAGGTTTCTTCTAGTCTCCCTGTTTTTCTTCCTAGTTAACAAAGCCCTAATTTTGTTTTGAAGGGTGATCAGCCCTTCATCTACCAGGTCTTTGCCTCAGGGAAACTTGACTCCACCTGTAGACCCTATATTGGGCCTGATTAGTTCAAAGGCATATTCCATTCCCCTGGCCAGGGATTAGTTTAGGGATAGACATGTGACAAAATTCAGGCCAATGAAATGTGAGCCTGCAGTGGCAATCTAGAAAAAGTGTCCTCTCCTCTAACAGAAAGCCACAGGAGGGGAAAATAATCTCTTTTGCTCAGGACATTGTCCTGCCTAAACATGATGCCTTGGACAGGCTGCTTCCATCTTGCTACCTGCAACAAGAGGAAAGCCAAAACTGAGGAGTCAGAGGAGAGGGATGGAAAGCACCTGGATCTTATGACATTGTTGAGCTCTTTTGTCTCTTGACTTCTAGTTATGAGACGTAGTTTTCTTACTGTTAAAGTCATTTCTGTTCTTTAAACCAAAAGCATTTCTTGATATACTGAATATAGTACATTTATTCAATCAATAAATGCCTGCCAAATACCCAAGTATGAATAATTGTAGTTTGTCTCATGGCTCTTCTTTCAAGTAAAAGTGATATTCTTTGACAAAAACAGCTAGTTTAGCTTGTAACACAAACAACCGCACAAGTGCTTTTCCTTGAGACAAGTATTATACTTTCATATGCAAGAGATGTATGTGCTTTATGCATGTTTCCCATTTCATAACACAGAATATTAAAAACGTGTACTTCAGGGTTGAGATCTAATAAAATGAGTAGTTATCACAGTTTCATTGAGGACACTCAAACTGGCAGGGATTTTTTTTTTGAGTACTATGAAATGTGTGGCAGTAAAGAATATAATAAATATTAATGTAATTTGGTGCTACTGCCCTGAATTGTGCTAAGGTGTCAGCAGTTTTTGTCACCATTGCTTTGACATCATCAGTGCAGGTGTCAATACAGTGAAAAAGGTAAATGGCATCTTGGTGTGATTATGGAAATAGATTGATCTAATGGACCACCTGAACTAGCCTTGGCCTTCCCAGGGATCTTAGAGAACTGCTGTAGTGGGTGATTATTTGGGAAATAAAATCTCTTAGGAGAAGTTATGGGTACAAAATGGTTATTGCTGAGGCCTGGAAGAGACTGAATTATGTGCCATGTTATGGTTCTGACTCCTTTATTTGGGTCAGTCTCACTGTTGCCTCAGTTATTGCCAGCACATGGGGCTGTTAACAGAGGGGTCCTAGGAGCATCCAGGTGCTGAGGTGCTTGTGAGGCCTTAGGCTGGAGGGCACAGGAAATGGGCTCACCCAGTGCTACCAGTTACAGACTCATTCAGAAGACTGTGAATCCACAACTAAGTTCTTTATTTCCCTATTCAGCCTGTTAGGCAATTTATCTTGTGCTCAGCTTAGAAACGCATTATTTAATGTAATCTGATTTCTGTTTATAATTCTTAAAATATTGCTAATAACGAAGTCATCTAAGTTCAGTTTTTTCTTGCCAAAATTTCTCCGATGCTGAATAATTATTAAATAATGAATGTGTTGTTTCACTCTGAGGGGCATCAAGATTCCCCCAAGCAGCACCTCCTTCCATTGCTTGCCAGCAACAAGCATTTTGGCAACACCACAAAGCACCAACTTTCAAGTTCTCACTGAGCCAGTCCTTGTTTCCAGGAAAGAAAACCCTGTTCTTGAGCCAGAATGAATGCTCTAAAGGCTGAGATTTTCTTTTCTCTTGCTAGAGAGGGAAGAATGACAATGGTTTCTTGGATTCCTATAGTGGGAAAGCCATCTAGAAA